ATTTACTCTAGGCCAGGGGTTCCCGGGGGGCAGGTGGGAAGGTCCCTTTGCCATAGCCTGGGCCTAGGAAGAGGTTGGAAATGAGCCAGATGCTGAACGATGAATAGGGTGTGGAAAGGAAGAAAGGGGTGTGGGGGCCAAGCCAGGAGGGGAGATGGGCCTTTCAAGCAGGAATTACACAAAAGCAGCAGTGGGTGGTGTGCGATCGGCGTTCTGGAAAGAAGCCACTAGGGGCCGGGGAACCACCGGCAGAAAGGTGGAGGGTGAAAACACAAGGCTCCGTGAGCGGTCCCCAGGGAGCAGGGGGTGCCGTTTGCGTCTTGGAGATCAGCTGTAGTTGGCAACAAGTCCCTGAGGGTAGGGACCATGCGGGTCCTGTTCACCATTGTTTCCAAAGCCTAAAGGAAGGCTTCCCACAAACCCTCAATAAATACGTACTGAACAGATGAAAGGGAGAAAAATCAGCTCAGCAAGAGTGGCTCAGATGATAAAGATGAGGACAAAGAGGAGTGTGGTCAAATTTTGCAAAGATCAAGGACAGTGAAGTCAGGGTTCCTGGGGGAGTGGAGAGAGACAGGGAGCTGCAGGGCAGGGAAGAGGTTCAGGGGTGAGTGCAAGGTGAGCAAGCAGGCACTCTCTGCAGGGGGAGAGAGGGAGGCAGGGCCAGCCAGGGCCGGGGGAAGTCCCTGTGCACAGACCCACCAGGAGGGGCAGAGATCAGAGGAGTGGAGAGGTGGGGAGGGCTGGCTCTGAGAAGGCAGGCGACAACCAAGACAGAGACAACCTGTGAATAAGGCAGGTGCCCTGACCTGCGGACAGAGGCAGAGAGGGAGGGAGGACACAGGTTAGCTCCCCAGATGGCCTCTTCTCTCTCAACCAAGAGGCAAACGGTCTTTTGAGAATGCGTTTTGGAAAAGGGGATGAACCGAGAACTCCGGGGCCTGAAGCAGAGCCAAAGCGCCTTCCCTTCCGGCTTCTGGGAAAGAGCTAGAGTGTGACTCCTCAGACGGCAGCCGGAGACCCAGCCCCAGCCTATGCATGACTACTGCAGCTGAGGGCTGTCACATGGGTGACCAAGGTAACTAAAGGCCATGTTGCTACAAAAACACCTCCCAACTTCTCCCCACTGACCCCTCTAGACCAGCCCCATGGTGTCTCATTCTATAGGACCTAGCCCCCAAATCGGCTGGGTGACGAGGAGGCCTGGATCCATTTCCTGACATTTTTGAGAACCAGGAAGCTTTCAGTAAACAATGAGGGGGCCTCATTAGGCATCAGATTCCATACATATCCCCGAGTAGGAGCTTTTTCATCCGGGTCTTTCAGAACCCCTGGAAAGGCTGAATACGTTGAGAATAAAGCGGATGTCAAGTGTGGAGTGCGTATTGGGAATGCATGCAAGCCTCTGATAAGGGATGGAATGAGGTGATCTCCAAACATCTTGCAGCCCTGACATGCTATGAAAAATGCTATGGATCAGATGGAAGACAGATAGAGGGAAAGGCGGGGAAAGGAGCGGGGTCCTAATCACTCTGGTCAGAAAGGTCCCAACATTTATGATAAACACATGTTTAAGAAAGCAAAGTGCTTTTGTGCTACATCCATCACAGGGAGACTCGGGGAAATGCTGTCTCAAGCCAGGTAGCACGATGTGCCTGCCATTTCTTCCCAGGCTGCACATTTTTACATGGGATACAGAAGGGAATCAGACGGGAGAGCCCCCGGGGGGGCCATACTATGAGCACTTCCACTCCCTGAATCCCCTGTTTCTTGCCATCACCCCAAAAGTGTGACCCCAGCCTTGCCTGCAGAGTCACGAGCACTTGCCGCTTATTTATCTGCCCCAGTGCATGCAGCTTTAATTATTTATGATAGTGTCTCATCACACTCGGGAATGTGTCTTGGAATCACTTCTCTCAACTGATGAAGCCTTTGTAATCAGAGACCTGCCTGGCTTAGCTGGTAAATCTCACTGAGGGGCGGGGCCGGCGCCACCTTTCCCGGGCCTGGGCGTCAACCAGGGACTCACAGAGGCGGGGTGAGCCAGACCCAGTTACGACGCTCAGTGCACACTGTCTGTGGTTGCCATAGATGTTTTCGGGAAACAATTAGGAGCCATCCACTGTCTACTGACAGGACAAAACTTCCTGCTTCCCTGAAAAGGACACTTTCCCTAATATTGGAGGGTTCTAACAAGCTGGAGTTAGCTCGTGATGCCCCTCAGATGATGTACTGTTTATTCCCTTATTCTGTCTGGTCTTCATCAATAAACCCATTTCCCCTCCATCTCCACCGACCCCTTCTTGTTCTCACAGAACTACCACCTGGATCCTTCAAAAGTCCACTTCGAATCACAAGCCCAGGGATTAGGAAGGAAGGTTTTTTTCTCCACTCAGTTTTGTAGGGCTATAGCTCCTTGGCTGGGGTGGGGATCCTGACATTAAAGGACACTCAGATCCCATGGCTCTCTCCAGGGCTCACACTTATTCTGATGGCCCAGAGGAAACTTCCTTCCCACGTGCAAGATTCACCCCCATTTGACAACCACAGGGAAGCTGGTATCAGGAACTCAGGTGAGCACAGACACAACCCAGAGACTCTACACCAGGAGCTCAGAACTTCCCCTAAAGGGCATATGGTCCATCCTCATTATTCATGGATTCTGGATTTACAAATTCGCCTCCTCGCTAAAACTTATGTGTAACCCCCAAACCAACACTCCTGGCGTTTTTGTGGTCATTCATAAACATGAAAGGAGTGGTGAGAAATGGGAGTCACCCGATGGGCACATTCCCACATGATGCTCTGCCTTTTTGTTTCAGTTCTCATAACATAAACCAGTGTCCTTTTCGTCATTTATTTGGTACCATTTAATTTTGCATATTTGTGCCTTTTAGGGGTGATTTCACTGTTTAAAATGACCCCAAGCTCGGGGCGCCTGGGTGGCTCTGTCGTTAAGCGTCTGCCTTCGGCTCAGATCATGATCCCAGGGTCCTGGGATCGAGCCCCGCATCGGGCTCCCTGCTCAGCGAGAGTCTGCTTTTCCCTCTCCCTCTGCCGCTCCCCTGCTTGTGCTCTCTCTCTTTCTCTCTCTGTCAAATAAATAAAATCTTTTTAAAAATTTTTTTTAAAATTAAAATAAAATAAAATGGCCCCTCAAGCATAGTGCTGAAGTACTCTCTAGCATTCCTATGAGCAAGAAGGCTGTGGTGAGCCTTATGGAGCAAATAGGTGTGTTCGAGAAGATTCGTGTGTTAGATAAAACTCTGTTCAGGCCTGAGTCATTGTGCTGCTGACCCTGAGTTTGATGTTAATGAACCAACAATATCTATTAAATAAGGCGTCCTCCAACAGAAGCGCACATAAAACAGGTTATGTATTGATTTGTTGATAAAAATGTTATGACCAGATATTCACAGGAGCCTAACCCTGTATGTCCCCTAGGAGCAATGGCTCAGCATCCACTAATTCAGTGTTTGTGGTAACTTTATGGGAACATAACTACTGTGAATAATGAGAATCAACTGTATATTCAATACAGCAAAGCCTAGGTCTCTGTTCAAATGTCAGCATCGCTATAGAAAGCTCTGCACCCCCAATTCTAGACCAAGCCTGCACCCCATGCTACCATCAGAGAAAGGCTTTCCTTCCAGCCACACCCACGTCCATCCAAGATGAACCTGACCCGAGGCAAGGCCTTCAGCCAGAGCAGAACGTTCTTAGCACTATGTTCCCCGCTATTTTGACAGGGGGTGTCCGATAAATACTAAGGCCAATTCTGAAGGACACGCAAGGACACCCAAGGTGGGGAGGCACATGACTGTGACTCGAGCCCAGTCCCTCCCACTGTGTCAGTCCTCTTACTAAAAATCAGAGCCAGGAAAACAGAAGCAAAGGTTAGTGCGAGAGCCGAATGCCCGCTTGGCTGTAAGATGGACCAGCGGGAGTAGCAAGAGGCCTGTGAGCTACGGTGTGGCCCGAGTACAGAGCGCTCAGCCAGAGCAAGAGAAAGACCCAGGGGGCTTCTTCCTTGGCTGAAACCCTGGACCAGCAGACAGAAGAAGAGAACCAATGGCAGAAGCCAGGGGACAGGGGAGAGGAACTCACAGCCTCCCAGTATCTCAGTTTTCCTGTTCGTAATATGAGGCCTTCGCCCAGCCCGTCCCTTCCAGCTCTCAGTCTCCAGGGGCCTCTGTACTCTCTCCTGAACTAGCTGACCATTTCTTGAGGGCAGGAGCAGGGAAGGGTGTGGGCTGGGGCTGCTAGGCCTACACAGAAGCTGGGACACCAGCAAAGGGACCACCTGCTGAATGGGAAGTCCAAGCCACAGAGTCTCCGGAAGAGGGGAGAGGCCCTAGCAGAGCTCAGCAGAAATACAAGGAGAGGGACTGGAACCAAGAGCAGGCAAGAAACGAGGAGGAAAGCGGTGCCCTGAATCCTCTGATCTGAGTGAGACATCTGCAGAGGGAGGGGAGGTGTCCTAGCAGTGGGGCCGTGAGGAGATTCTCAGAAAGTGCGCACTTCGGGGCACTGGAGGGGCAGCTAGGGAGGTGTTTCCATTCAAACGGTACTCACCACCCTTCATTCCCTTCCCTTCTCCTGGAGGTTTGGGTGGAGGGTATGGTAAGCTCAGGGGCTATTGTCTGGACAGAGTCAGGTTACATTTCCTAAATGCAGGGCCAGGTCTCTAGAGGAGACCAGCCTTGGCTGTGCCCCCTGCCATACTGGGAGCACGTCTCCATGTGGGGCTGGGCCTCCTGCATCCAGGCTGCTCCCCACCCTGAGCCCTCTCTGTCCAGGGGGCTCTGCCCCAGTGGAGACCCCTTGCCTAGGCTATTTTTCAAGTTTTGAGATGAACAGGGAGGGTCTCTTAAGAGAGTGGGAGGTTAGCAGGTGGTAGGTCACCTCAGAAGGTTCCAGAACCCCAGCTACGTGGTCTGTTGCCATGCCACCCTCCCCCGCCCTGCCCAGAAGGGACAACGCTCTACTCCAGTACTCACACGTGTCTGGCTTGTGGCAGCTGTGTCCCTGACGGAAGTACTGGGGGTTCTCAATGACCGGGATGCGGGTCATGCCGATGACCACCGTGTCTGGCCCGGCATCCAACGATGAGGGCGTGGTGATGCCATGGTTGATGTGGTGCAGCGGGCTGGCTGAGTCCTCCTCACCACTGATGACAGCCACAGGCCCTGCGCACACCAAGAGAGACACAGGGACATCAGTGAAGTCACACCTGGCCAGTGCCTAGCCCTGCCCACAGATCCTCTCACTATTTCTGCCACCACAGTTCCAGAAGAGTGAAACCCACTGGATGAGTATTCCCTGAATGCTCTGGAGTCTGCATTCAAAGAACCACCCCTTCGTTCTTCTTGAGAGAGAGAAAGGTCCACCCCATCACACCATGGAAACAGCTGCAAAAGAGTGTATCAAAATGACTCTGCCATGAATTATTTTCACTTCCCCCAAATCCAAATTAGTTCAAAATAATGCAAATTTTAAATGAGTTCTTTCTTATGTAGCAACAACGGGATAAAAAAAATGTACATATAGCAGTCATTTGCACCTTGTCCCTCCTTCCTTCGGAAGCTTTAGAAACTATCAATGGTGGGTCCCACCCCAGTTTCTGATTCAGCTGGTCTGGGGATGCACCTGGGCGTCAGGATTTAAAGTATGCCCGTGTGAGTCCCATGCACAGCCAGGATCTAGAACCTCTAATTAGGGCCTTGGAGTGCCTTAATCAGCCTTTCCAGAGTGGCCCTCAGATTCCTATAGGAATGTATCCAGCTTTCGCTGGACTCAGCTGTGGCCTCTCCCAGTCCACAGGGAGCTAAGCCCAGAACCTGAGCCAGACTTCAAAGTGACATGAATTCGGCTGCATCACTGTTAGCCTTCCTGCAACTGGGTCAGCTGCCCACTCTCAAAAGATCCACACTGCCCCAGTGACCCCAAGGAACATCGTTCACGTCTTCACCAACCCCAACTCCAATTTACAAACACAAGCTGACAAAGATAATTGTTGCCACAGTCTGGGCAGAGCAAGGATTCTGTCTGGTGGGGCGATTCTCCCAAACATACAAATAAAACCGACGTCAAGGGCATCGGCCGTGACTGTGGCTTCTTACAGCTGATATTTGAAATGGGTGCTTTGCAAGACACACGGTCCCAAGACAAAGTGCCCTCTGTGATTCGGCTTTGCAGCTCACACAATACTTCTGCTGTAGAAGTCCATCACACCTACCGAAGTTTATGGGGAGAACACTTCCCATCGAAGAGCAAGGTGAAGCACCAATGAAGCAGAACTAAAAGGAAGACTAGTGAACGTGAACTGAGGACCCTGAATTCCACTCCATGGAATTATTCCAGACAGGCTTATTCCAATCCACAACAAATGCCTGACAGGTTTTGGAGGCCCCGTGGAAAAGGAGCAATGCATGGCGATAATCACTCGCCCTGCAAACAGAGGCCAGTTCCTGAAAACACCTTGTAAACTCTGAGAAACTTCGTCACGATTCCAATTAAACACTGAAAGCGGGCATGGGTTTTTCTCCTTCCTCTCTCCCCAAATGCCTCTAAAATATAAAGAAATTAAAGAAATACTGGTGAACCAAGAGCAAGAAGAGGGGAGACCAGAGGAAATAAGATATTTCAATGTTTTGGAAGATGAAAAGTGAAATGATGTAAGCTTGCTTACAGAGGGGCTGCAGGGGGAATATTTAGAGAAAGTCAGTTCTGCTGAGTCGCCCAGGACTTGAATGGACAGGGTAACCCGGAAGGCTGGATCGGGGCTCGGGGTTGGAACAAATTACCCAAGCTATGACCTTGGCCCCAGCCCACCAGTCTAGTGGTTTCTTCCTGGAGAAAATTAAGTGGAAAGGCTGAGGGCAAGGGCTGGTTCCCTTCTTGCTGCTCCTGGAAGACAGAAACCAGGAATACCCATGCCTCTTACTGACCCTACTCCCAGTCTCCTCCCCTGAAGGAGATTCAGAGGATGCTTCTCTGCAGAAACTGAACGCCTCAAAAAAAACCACCTAGATGTTAGGGTGCCTGGGTGGCTCAGTCGGTTAAGCGTCTGACTATTGATTTTGGCTCAGGTCATGATCTCAGGGTCATGAGATCAAGCCTTGCATAGGGCTCCACGCTCAGCAGGGAGTCTACTTAAGATACTCTCTCTCCCTCTGCCCACCCCCTGCTCTCTCTCTCTCTCTCTCTTATTTAAAGATAAATAAATCTTAAAAAAAAAAAAAAGTACCTAGATGTTGACATTTGGCGGTCTCCTAATGAAGTCATGCTTAGTCTGTGATCATGCCATAGTGAAGGCTAATAGTTGAAGAGGCCCACCTATGTGCATAAAGTGCTTTCTAGAACTCAATTCCTAAATATGAGAGAACAGTCCAGGATCCTCAGACATTTCAGCAAAGCTTCAACATGAAAGAGAGAGGGCAAGACAAAGAGATAATCAGGGACCTGCAGGAAACAGAGCACTGCAAGGAGCAGAAGACTTTTTTTTTCTAAATCACGAATATCCTCAGAGAGACAAATGAAGACATCACATTCATAAAAAAAGATATTTAAAATGTGAACAATTCAAGGGTCAGAAAGAGTCCTTGAGAATTATGACCATCAGAATTCGAAAGCCAAAGAGGAGTGGAAGATAAAGCCAAGGAGATCAGAAAGTCAAACAAAACAGAAAGAGGCGGTAAATAGGAAAGAAAAGAGAAGAAAATTAAAGACTCAATCCAGAGATTCAATATCTGACTAGAAGAAAGGTGGCAGGGTAGGGAGAGGGAGAAAGGGAAGGAGAGAGAATAGAAAAGATGGAAGGGAGGATAAAAAATTAGGGAAAAATTTCTCCAAATGGCCTGTCTACTCAGTTTCAAGCATAATTAATACATGCACGTGTGCATCTGCCCACGCACACACGCGCACGTACACATAGGCACACACACACACATATATCAAGGCACAAAGTTATAAAATGCCAGAACCCTGAGAATAAAGAGAAGATGCTAAGAGCTTGTAGGAGGGAGGGATAGGTCATATTTCAAAAGGAACAGAAATCAGAAAGACAATGCATAACATAACATAACAACCCACTGTGACTACGCTGAGCAATCCCTTCAAATTTTTTTTTAAGATTTATTTATTTATTTGAGAGAGAAACAGAGAGCAGGGGGAAAGCAGAGGGAGAGAATCTCCAGCAGACTCCCTGCTGAGCATGGAGGTCAACACGAGGCTTGATCTCAGGACCCTGAGATCAAGCCCTGAGCTGAAATAAGATTTGGATGCTCAACTGACTGAGCCACGCGGGTGTCCCAATTCCTTCAAATTTTTGATGGACAAATTTTCAGCCTAGAATTCTACCCCTAAAAGTGTATTCACAGGACGGCCTGGGTGGCTCAGTCAGTTAAGCGTCTGCCTTTGGCTCAGGTCATGATCCCAGGATCCTGGGATTTAGCCCCGTGTCGGGCTCCTTGCTCAACGGGGAGTCTGCTTCTCCCTTTGCCTGCCACTCCTCCTGCTTGTGCTCTCTCTCTCCCTGACAAATAAATAAAATCTTTAAAAAAATAAATAAAAGTGTATTCACCCATTGCAAGGGCAGGAGACAGGTACTTGCAGGTGTGCAGACACTCACCTCCCCCTTCCTAGGAAGCAGCAGGAGGGGACGCTTTGGCAAAACAAAGGGGCAAACGGGGAAAAGAGGGAATGTAAGATCCATTTCCAAGCGACAGAAGGCCCCCGCACCCGGGTCTGTTCCCAGCATTATGGGATGTGGGTTGTTATAGCAACATGGTGGCAGGACACAGAATCAGGAGGAGTTTGGAGAAGACAGAAACGATGGGACTTGAGCCTTTTACAAAAGGCTGTTTCTTTGAATCTGTGTCTCAGGGAGTCAATGGACAGCGAGTGGTCCACACAAAGTTCCAAAGCCTGTGATCTAAAACAGTCTCTGCTTTCTCAACATTATTCTAGGATCTGAGAAGAACAGGTAAGAGCCACAGGGAGGAGAAGGGTCCTGCTACAGGCTCCCAAGCCACAGGAAGGGACAGGGTCACCCAGGAAGACTTCACAGAAATAAATGAATAAAGCAGACTTCGAAGCCCTGGGAAAACTAATACTTAGAATGCGGGCAGAGGAAGGGCAGCAGGGAAAGGAACATGAGAAGAAACGGCCAGAAAAGCAGAAGAGAATCAGAAAACGACACTGACTTAGAAGTCAAGAAGGAGAATACCTAGAAGGTCAAGAGCATACTCTATCAAGGCCAAGTAGAATGAAGAATGAAAATAGGCCACTGTATCTGTCAATGAGAAGGTAGCCTTAGTGAGAGCAGGTCCCAAAGAGGACTGGTGGGAGGAAAACATTCAGCTATAGCGTGTTGAGGAGTCAACTGGAGATCTCACCATTGCCGCCATTTTTATTGAGCACTTTCTATGCAACAGGCTCTGTAAATGCAATGTCTTTAACTTTATAATGCCTCTGTGAGGTTGGTGCCTTTATTCTGCCCATTTTACAGATGGAAGCACTGAGGCACTGAGCAGTGACCTGCCCAAGGACACACAGCACAAAATGGGATGCAAAGTGGTGGATGCTCACTGGGCTACAAACCTGGTCTGCCCCAGAGTCTAAGCACATAACAGCGACGCAGCACTGCTTCCCAGAAAGTGCAGACCATGAGGGGGAGAGCATGTGTTCAAAGGGACACTTGGTCAATTCTGGCACATCATCCTCCTCATGAGCAGCTGCTTTAAATTGCAAGTTCCTGAGACCCTTTTTAAAGAGGTTGCTCTTGATCCTCGAGAATAGGGACAAGAGTGAATTACCTCATTAGACTCATGCAGATAGATTACAGATAATTCAGCATGAGCTCTGCATCCCAGAGCTGCGGAACGCTTGCATTCAGCTACATCCACATCAAAAAGAGCACGGTGCTGTCAGACTGCTGTCTGGTCCCTGAAGCCCTCCTACTCACCTCCACTCTTCCACGAACCACATCCCTTAAAATAAAAGCCATAAAGAGTGCAGAGACCCCTCACTTCAAAGAACCTATGAGGAGACCCTTGCAGCTCGCTCCTGCCCACCTGCAGGGTCCCCAGCAGGGCTGTGGCCAGCGCTGGGGTGAGACAAGTCCTCTGGGGACAGGGCTGCTCTGGGTATGGCAGGATATGTGGCCTCTCTGGACCTGGGCGTTCAA